TGATGATAGCAGTACAATCACTACATTGGTCACCAGCATAGACCTGTGACGTGGCACTAACTGATTTTGTACATATGCAGCAGGGGTAATGACACTTGGTCCTATTAGAAATCTGTATTCCTCTCAGATCAAACCTGCTTCTGCTCTCACTAAAGTCTTTGGGAATTTTCCCTTTGATTTCAGAGCAAGACAGAGGCCAGTGAAGAAAAATGAAATAAAAGAAAGTACTAAAATGTACAAGCAAGTAATACTAACACTCCTGAAATAAATGCTTTGGGTCCAATTATGCTCTCGTTGACCTTGAAGAGAGCAGAAGTAGGCCTTTGGTGGTACGGTACACACACTATCATCCTTTCTTTATACATGTAGAAAACAGATGTATTTGAGAACTTATTTAAGGATTTTTAGAAGAACTAGTGCCTCTCTTGGAATATATTCAAGAACATCCTTAAACTCTGCAAAAGAAACAAAAAGGACCTGTATCAGGATTGTTTTTATGAACAGTGATTGAATAATCTTCCTCCAGAAATACAATCAACTTGATGCTCATTCTTTACATACGCCCATTCTTCCAGTAACTCCTATCAGATAATCTCTGCTTAAGCACTCCCACACTCTTGACAGACAGAACAGTGTACAAATACACCAGTATTCCACACCATTTATAGGGGTGTTTTTTGCAAGCACTATTTTTTAAGTTGAATTTTTTTGTGTTTTCTTCAAACAATGAATGATGATGAGAATACAGTGTAAATCACTTGGGTGGTCTAAACAGAAATTGTGATGGCTTAAAAATATGGTATCTTTTTATTTTCTTTAAAACATCCTGTGCATAGTAGAGCTGTTTCTTTCCTTTCTGCTACATGGAGTTTTGTATTAGTGCCCTGTTTGTAAATGTTATTGTATTTTTTCTTCTCAATAAAAAGTTGTTTTTTAAATGGAAGAAATAACTTACAGGGCAAGGTGGCAAACCATGGTGTTGATCCTGCAGTGAGCTCCATGAGAGTGTATTTCTGGCCCTGGCAGAGCCCCACTGACTTGCCTGTGTAGAATTCATTGCAGGATCAGGATCTCTGTTTTGTATATATATCAGTTACAGCGGTGCAGCTCTCTGAGAGAATATTTACAAGTGATGTAGAATTAAAAAATCCAGTTTGAGTGGCCTTTTCCTGGTTTCAGCCGCTGGGTTTTAGGGAGGGAGAGAGTCAGCTTTAAAACATTTGGATAGACAGCTTGGCACTTGGATGTTTCTCTGAACTGAATCGCCATACCTTTTGAGGTCTTTCTCATCATCACATAAAGATACCAGGATGGATCACAGGCCAGGATACTATTCTGTATGCCCAGGCCGCAGAGAACATATCTCCAATATGGCCTGACCATGACCTCCTGCAGTTTGACATTGGGGCACATCTTTTATGTAAAAAGAAAAGGAGTACTTGTGGCACCTTAGAGACTAACCAATTTATTTGAGCATGAGCTTTCGTGAGCTACAGCTCACGAAAGTTCCACGGTATGCATCCGATGAAGTGAGCTGTAGCTCACGAAAGCTCAGTGAGCTGTAGCTCACGAAAGCTCATGCTCAAATAAATTGGTTAGTCTCTAAGGTGCCACAAGTACTCCTTTTCTTTTTGTGAATACAGACTAACACGGCTGCTACTCTGAAATCTTTTATGTAAGGATGAGGTATTTTCAATGGCCTTCTCTCAGGTAGTAATGTAACTGGAGCATTTCCATGGGACTCTGTGAGAGACAATAGATATGTTTACCATTTTACAACAATCAGCTGGCCTCAGCCATAGTATAGTGGCAGCCTCTTCTGTGATATCCTCTGATTTACAGATCAAAGTCAAGTCACCTTGATTTACAGATGATGTGAGAGGGGAGATGTCTAGAACGCCAGTGATGAAAATGTTGGGTTGAAACTGACAGATTGTGTAAAACATTTTTTACACTATTAAATCATAGGATACCAGGGCTGAAAGGGACCTCATCTAGTCCAACCCCCTGCTCAAAGCAGGACCAATCCCCAACTTTTTTTTCTTTTGGTCCAGATCCCTAAATGGCCCTCTCAAGGATTGAACTCACAACCATGGGTTTAACAGACAAATGCTCAAACCACTGAGCTATCACTCCCTCTGTGCCTATGTAGGAGGCAAATACAAAGTTCTTTGCCTCCAACATAGCATCCACAGAACCTCAGTCAGTATAGAGATTTGTTTTGTTTGGCAAATAGCTTAGTTAGTCCAGGCTGTTTCCACTTGGTGTCTGATTGGAGTTCCTCCTGCTGTGAGGAAATCTCTTGTTATCTTGTAGAGAAAATCATTCAGATTCTAACAGGCCCATGTTTCTCTTTGTTCATCTTGACATTTTGTTTAAAATTATGCCTGTCAGGGCATGGGGGACAAGTACTACATAATCTCTATAGAAATTTTGCCCACTGATGCTCTCCAAAGTACTGGATTTGTTGGGGAAATTTCATGCCACAAGATGTGCTCTGGATTCTGGATCTTCGTGGCCAGTAAAGGCCAAAGGGTGCTGGGCCCAGTGCTAATGGAGTCTGTCAATGTCTCCCTTAAAGAGTAGGCTCACTGTCTTCTCTTAAGGAATCATTATTACGATTTTGTTCAAGAAATCATGTTAGTGTTGACAATCTGATTTTCATCCTGTATCTAATCTTTCCTCAGTGGCTGAGATTATTGAAAAGGTTGTGGTGAAATAGCTCTTATGGTATCTACAGGCCTCACAATTCCTTGATCCTTGTGAATTTGGGAACCAACTGGGTACAGCACAAAGTCTGCATCGTGGTTATTAGCTGATGATCTCTTCCTGGGAATGGCTGAAGATGACGTCTGGGCTGATATTACATGTCAGCTGCCTCTGACACTGTTGATCATAAGGTGCTGTAGACATATCTCACTGGAAATGCATGAAGCTGCTCTTGAGTGACTTTGTTCTGTTCACAGAAAGATCCAAGATTGCTCGTCTTCCCCAAAGGTACTCGGGTGGAGTTCTACAAGGTTCCAGCTGCTTGCTCCTCCTATTCTGCACGTTCAGGGGCTCTTAGAAGGGTTTGTGAGGCAACATGGGTTGCAGTGTTCATCCAGTGAAAATTACAGGTCATTTAACAGGCAAGTGAAGAGGATAGAGAGGTGATCTGCAGCTGGAAAAAGGCTGACTGAGGGATAATTGTACTAAGACAGTCAAAAATACAGACCATTTAACAGAACCCTAGACATCCTGGTCTTGTCTTCCCCTGTCAAATATGGACACCCTAGATAATTTTTTGCCAGTAGTGACACCCCAGTGGAGATATTTAAATGTTAACAGGCCTCTATTGCGCTTTGTTTTTTCTTCATATTTTGTTTAAAATGGTGACCTATGCAACTTGATCAGGGAGATAAAACCTGAAATGCACAAGTAGTAGGACTGGAAGGTTTACAACATGTTTCTGTCAATCTGTGAGGTGCTAATTTCAAATACTTTTGCATATGTAGGTCCTAGAATATAACTGGTGAAGTACTAGCTCCATACCGTACTAAACAAACAAACATGTATGTAGGATATTTGGTTTCTGTGGCTCTGTATTTCATGGGGCCCTTATCACATACTTAGTGTTAGCTTCATTAATCTACCTTTGGCTGAACAGGCTTAATTACTGTCTCGAATAAACAACTTTCAAATGAAAAACTAATGAATATCCTTCAAATTCCTCAGGCCTCCAAATAAAGAATCTTAAACAGACATAATTATTGGGGTTTAGAAATGATCATTCCTATCTACAAACACTCACCATGACCAGCTGTTAAAATTAAGACAGGAGAGCCTACAGGTAAATAAGGTCTTAGACCCCAGTCCTGTAAAATATACATACATTTACTCGCCTATGTAAGTGTTTGGAAGGATTGGGATCTTAGTTAATGACCACGTTTTGATTTTCTTTGTACAGCTATTTTTTTTTAAACAGGAAAATGTGCATTGGTGAACTTTATAAGGCAAGGAGGAAGAACTTTATCATGATATAATCCACTTCCTTACACAAACTAGGCCATATTAAACTGCACATGGTATATATGACCCACATGTTTTAACAAGTTGGTTCTAATGGTGTAAGCCAACAGACACCAGCAGTTCTGATCCAAACTGCCACCAGTCCTTCAAGTCTAACAATCCATACAATTAAATTTTAATACTGTAAATAAACATTCTTTTAAAAGATGCCCTTCAAAGGCTTTTGTAAGGTATCCCTTTTGTCCGGATAGTTCTGAGCTTCCTATCTCTTGACTTTTAGGTTTATCCCTGATTTCAATATTATAGGATTAAAAAATAAAATATCCCACAACACTAGCTGCACTGTATTGATTGTAAAGTTGAATCCAGAGTTAGATAAAATTGCAGTGTTAGAGGGAAAGTGCGATTCGTGTCCAAAATGAATGTACCGTTTTACTATGATAGGGAAGTATTTTTCTTTTTAATCTCCCCCAGAGTTAGCAGCTGCGTCAGGATTTCCCTCTTTCCACCATGCTATCCATAATTGTGGGGCTCTTTATTTACTTAAAGGGAACCCCACTCACAGAGATTTCAGAGTAGCAGTCCTGTTAGTGTGTATCCACAAAAAGAAAAGGAGGACTTGTGGCACCTTAGAGACTAACATATTTATTTGAGCATAAGCTTCCCTGAGCTACAGCTCACTTCATCGGGGCCACATTCTGATGTCTTCGTTCAAGCTGACTTTAGGGGGCTCACTGATGTAACAAGGTGAGCTCCCAGATCCCTCTGCGCAGGGCGTGAATTCACACCTGTTTTATTGACAGTTTTCTGATTACCCTAATCTGCCCACGAGCCTCCCCCTTGAAAACATTCCTCCGAGCACCAAACGTGCCTGCATTGCTGCTGCCGGGGGGAGGTAGAAGGGGTAGCTGCCGCCCAAGCCCCTCTGCTGCCCCTGCCAGGAGTTTTTTTTTTTTGCAGCAGGAGGAGCAGGAAGCTGCCCGGGTAAATCACATGACAGAGCCGCCGCCGCTGCTCCTGGGCTTAGTTCAGCGCTCCTCGCACTGGGAGGGGGAACCTGCTGCCGCTGCAGCCCGCTCTCCGCAGCCGCTCGCTCGGCCCCGCTGGTGAATTTCCCGGCCGCTCGCTCCATGCCGCTCCCCCGCTGCGGAAGTGCCGCGGGGGCAGCCTGAGGCGCAGCGCCCCGGCTCCCCGCGCTGGAAGGTGCTGCGGGGGCGGCCGGCCGGCGGGAGTAACATGCTCACTCGGGTGAAGTCTGCCGTGGCCAATTTCATGGGAGGCATCATGGCTGGCGGCTCGGGCTCGGAGCACGGCGGCGGCGGCTCGGACCTGCCCCTGCGCTTCCCCTACGGGAGACCCGAGTTCCTGGGGCTGTCTGCGGACGAGGTGGAGTGCTCCGCCGACCACATCGCCCGGCCCATCCTCATCCTCAACACGGAGACCAAGCGCCTGCCCTGGACCACGGGATACGCCGAGTGAGTACAGCAGCCTCCCCTCCCCGGCCCGGCTCCCCGGGGCCATGCCCCGGCCCCGCTTCTCCCAGCCCGGGCAGGGGGTGTCCCCTGGAGGGGGGCGGCGGCGCTCCGGGGAGGTGTGTGGGGCAGTGGAGCACCCACGCTCATAGGATCCGGGCACATCAAGGGTAATGCGCATCAGCCCCTCGCTGCTCCTTCCCCCTTCTCTCCCCGTGCCATGGGGGGAGGGATAGCTCAGTGATTTGAGCATTGCCCTGCGAAACCCAGGATTGTGAGTTCAAACTTTGAGGGAGCCATTTAGGGATCTGGGGCAAAAATTGGGGATTGGTCCTGCTTTGAGCAGGGGGTTGGACTAGATGACCTCCTTAGGTCCCTTCCAACCCTGATCTTCTATGATGATTCTATGGGGCTAGGGCCCCTGGGGGCCGGCAGTGTCTCTTGTCACATGCTCCCTCCATCTAGCCGGGATGTTTTCTGCCCCTGCTAGGGGTGGGTGGTGCATATGTTGAGTTGAGTGGGTCTCTTTCTTGGAGCCTCTCCCAGGGCAGGCTGCTTTCTCCCTTCCTGAAGTGATCCCCTTGTTTTGCAAAATAACGTTGTTCTGCTTTTCTCTCTGGGCTGCCCCTTAGGCCCCGGGGGAAGGAATTCTTACAGACGTTTAATAACAGAATTTTGGCTAATCCAAAATTGGTGCATAAGCATGTTTGGGTGAGAGGATTATGTTAGGTGGCTAACTCTGTTTGTGTTGCTGGAGAGGATGGGGAACTAGGATTTAACACATCCCTTCCCAGGCCTGTGCAGCGCAGAGCGCAACACCAGTGTTTGTCATTGATTGCTCCCATTCTAAAAAATTTCCATCCTCCTTGTACACGTTGGCTCTGGGGGCTGGGCTAGGAAGGTGGAATGAAGGAGACTACAGTAGTTCTCTGGTGCTCTTGCACCCCAGCTCATCTCCTGTATCTCAGACTCCACTGCTACCACAACTGATGTTTACCGCTGTACTACATACTTAATTTTCCTCAGTAAAAGGATTAAAATGATAAACTGCTCTGCTAAATCCCGGTGATAATTGCTGGTGACTGGATGTATTATGAATGCCCAGATAGAGGGGACTTGAAGAAAGTGAGACTTTTGTACTCTTTGAAAATGACTTTATTAGCACTGGGCTGGGGTTGGGGGGGGGGGAATAAATCAGTTGAGCAGCTTTATGTGTTTATTGCTGACTTGAATGAAAATATGCACTGACACTAAACTTGATTTAGGTAGTCTGTGGAGAAGCTTATTAACAAGGAATGGTGAAGGGACACAGTCTTGGGCAGCTTCCTTTAGAGCTAGCTGCGTTCAAATACATTTCGTGCTGGCCTAATGTCCTCTCTCTGATGTACTGAAGATCCAAGACTTCCCATTGCAAATATTGTATTGAAGATCCATGTTTAAGAGGGACTTGAGGATCCCAGGCTCTGAACGAATGGAAAGGAAACATATTGTGAAGTTATAGACAAGCTGAGAAATGAATAGTTCTGGCCACTCACTGCAGTGCCCATAGTTTGTTGCCTTGAGTCATATCATTGCTGTTTATTTTGGAAGGAATTGTGTCTCTGGTCAGTTACCAGTTCCAGTCTTAAGCACAATCAAGGCAAGTGACCTCTTAGGGCCAGTTATTCAAGAGCAGAACACAAAGTGCAGAGCTTGCTTGGATGCGAGGCCCCATCCCACTGTTTAACAAGGGAACCAGTTACAGAGACTTATGTACATGATTATGATCCTGTTGAATTAGTATTAGTTTTACCATTTGCTTTAATGGGAGCAGGATTGAGGTCTGGAGATTACACACTGTAAGGCCAACCAGGCAATAGCAATGCATAAATTACAGCTCCTACAAACAATCCAAGGGTTGGGAGAGAAATCTCTTCCTTTCTGTGAGACTGTTTCTTAGGACCTAATGCAATACCATGTCTACGCTAAGAGCTTACAGCAGCACCGATGCGCTGCACCGCTATAAGGTCTCCTGCATAGCCGCTCTATGCCGACAGGAGAGAGTTCTCTTGTCGGCGTAATTAAACCATCCCCAATGAGTGGCAGTAACTATGTTGGTGAGAGAAGCTGTCTTGCCAACATAGTGCTGTCCACACCGGCACTTCTGTTGGTGTAACTTATGTTGCTCAGAGGGGTGGGGTTTTTTTCCCCCCCACACCCGAGTGACATAAGTTATACTGACAAAAGTGGCAACGTAGACATAGCCTTTAAAGGTAATAGAAAAACTAACTCTGACAGCTTTAGGAGTAGGAGCAAGGCCTTAATGAGCAAATGGTAGCCTTATAAAAAGGTACAAATGATCTGTTCTAACATGTTTGGAAGTGCTGAAATGTAAAATGGGATTTAGAGAATTTTAAGTTTTCTTTTTCCTCACAATTTTAGGGACCATCAAACAACTTGGCTGTGAGCTATTAAAATGGGTGAGGTTTGAATGTTTGCAAAACTTTAAATTGTCTGGTCCTAAAATAATCTAACTCATTCGTTCTTTACCAAAGAGGCTAACTGAGTTTCAATGATTCGCTAAAGGGCACAGCAAGTCAGTAATGAAGTACGAAAATAGATTGTTGTTAGTGGACTAAACACATGTCCGGGAGTCGAACAAAGTTTTAATGTGGAATGAGTCTTTCAAGAAGGAAAAGTGTGATGCTAGAAAACGAAAGCATAGTGGGACTGTGTGGGAAATTGTATTCCTTATGTGAATTAATGTTTGCAGATAGCCATTTTCTTTATTGTGGTTGTGATAAGTAAAAGAAGGTCTTCATCTTACCTGTATGATAAATTTCACTTTTGCAGTGTTAATCTGATGTGCAGTTCAGTTAACTTGCAGGACCTGTTGGTAGCTATGTGAAAAGAGACCATCCCTTAGTTTCGCATAGCTTTTAAGGCCTGATCCAACCCTGATTGAACTCATTGGGAGACATTTATTGACTTCAATGGGAGTTGAATAGGCCCACTGGGAGCTCTTCCACTGCTGAGGAAAGAGGGGAAAATACTCTCCTTAGCAAACTTTTCTATTAATGTTTGTCTCTGAAAAGAATTTCTAAAACTTTTGAAATTGTATTTCACAATAGAATACCAAGGTATTGTTTATAGAAGTTGTGGTGAAATAAGCAAATGTCAGCATTGCACCATCTTCCCAATGGAAAGCAGGAGAAACTGTCATTACTGAGCAAAGAAAATGGATGTGGATTCAGGGAATTGTTGTTTTACAAAGAAAAACAATGGCAAACTCTTCATGTTTGCCAACTTCAAATTTATTTTTAAGGGGTTTATAGGCTAACTTCTTTGTGGCTTAATCATGACAGGATTTGGTGTTATATAACGGCCTGTTCTTCCTTCGGCTCAACATAGAATTTGGTGATAATGGGTGTTATGCCCGTATATCAAGGGGAGAATAGAGATGGCAGAAATTTAAAATTGTCTGGAAAACGGATAGGAAGATGTAATGTATTTTTTCAAAAAGTTGATTTGCTTTATTGTAAAGAACTAAGTCTTCCCACTCTACTTTTTAACATTTGTACTGTAATAGAATGTTTTCTTTTCTATTGATATTTCCCTTAGTAATTAATTGAAGGGATATCAGAGGGAAGTCTACTATCCCTGTGCAGTAACTCATGACATAATATTTGAGGAAGTGACTTAGTCCTTGCTTCTCTAGTTTTCTCTCAAGAGGCAAGGCTAGAAAAGACTATTTCCCCCTAACTTTCCATTGTGTTTTAAAGTGCATCTTCTAGATGCAGAATTCATAGATTCCTAGATATTTAGGTCAGAAGGGACCATTTTGATCATCTAGTCTGACCTCCTGCACAACGCAGGCCACAGAATTTCACCCACCACTCCTACAAAAAAACCTCACACCTATATCTGTGCTATTGAAGTCGTCAAATCGTAGTTTAAAGACTTCAAGAAGCAGAGAATCCTCCAGCAAGTGACCCGTGCCCCATGCTACAGAGGAAGGCGAAAAACCTCCAGGGCCTCTTCCAATCTGCCCTGGAGGAAAATTCCTTCCCGACTCCAAATATGGCGATCAGCTAAACCCTGAGCATATGGGCAAGATTCACCAGCCAGATACCCAGGAAAGAATTTTCTGTAGTAACTCAGATCCCGCCCCATCTAACATCCCATCACAGGCCATTAGGCCTATTTAGCATGAATATTTAAAGATCAATTAATTACCAAAATTATGTTATCCCATCATACCATCTCCTCCATAAATTTATCGAGTTTAATCTTAAAGCCAGATAGATCTTTTGCCCCCATTGCTTCCCTTGGAAGGCTATTCCAAAACTTCAGTCCTCTGATGGTTAAAAACCTTCGTCTAATTTGAAGTCTAAACTTCCCAATGACCAGTTTATATCCATTTGTTCTTGTGTCCACATTGGTACTGAGCTTAAATAATTCCTCTCCCTCTCCGGTATTTATACCTCTGATATATTTATAGAGAGCAATCCTATCTCCCCTCAGCCTTCTTTTAGTTAGGCTAAACAAGCCAAGCTCCCTGAGTCTCCTTTCATAAGACAAGTTTTCCATTCCTCGGATCATCCTAGTAGCCCTTCTCTGTACGTGTTCCAGTTTGAATTCATCCTTCTTAAACATGGGAGACCAGAACTGCACACAATATTCCAGGTGATGTCTCACCAGTGCCTTGTATAACGGTACTAAAACCTCCTTATCCCTACTGGAAATACCTCTCCTGATGCATCCCAAGACCGCATTAGCTTTTTTCACAGCCATATCACATTGGCGGCTCATAGTCATCCTATGATCAACCAATACTCCAAGGTCCTTCTCCTCCTCCGTTACTTCTAATTGATGCGTCCCCAGCTTATAGCTAAAATTCTTGTTATTAATCCCTAAATGCATGATCTTACACTTCTCACTATTAAATTTCATCCTATTACTATTACTCCAGTTTACAAGACCCTACAGGAGGATCTGGATGACATCCCTGTCCTTCTCTAAAT